AGACAGATGGGACTGTGACATGGTTTGTTGCCCACTGGTGATTAATGAGAAACTCGTGGCATTCCAGGGTGTAATGTGCAAGGTTCTCACAATCCTCAAGCCCTCCCAGAAGCCTTAGGATAAGGAGCAGCCAGATTCTGGGCACGAATGAGCTCTGAACTAGTGGCTGAGTCCAGCCTGCCACCTGTGCTGAGGGCCATCAGCCCCCTGCACCGCCACACTCTCAGGCAATGACTCCCTGTAAAGATCTGAAGGTCATTTCCATCTTCCCATTGCATGGACTGCTTCCTGTGGGCGAGAATGGCTACCCTGGCACACAGGGACCACGTGGACTTCGTGGGAGCCAAGTCTCTTTAGGCTGGAAAGTATGTGAGCACATGTGTATTTCAGGGAGCAACCGAAGCTTTCTCGAGATAATCTATTGGGACCACGATGCAAAGAAGTGTGAAAACACTGATTTAGCCATATTTACATTTTGGGATCAACAAATAGTGCACAGACGGTCTGGAATACGACAGTAGAACAATTCACACTCACAATCGCACTTACTGTCGCCAAACCTTATTCTAAGCACTTCACGGAAATGAATTCACTGACTCCTCATGAAAGCCATGAGATTTAGGAACAGTCATCACCCACAGATTACAGATGAGAACGCCGAGGTAAGTAAGTAACTTAACCAGTTGTGGAGCCAGGATTCTACAAAGGCGGTGTGGACCCCGAGCTCCTGCTCCCCACCGTAGCAGAGAGCCTGGAGGGAAGAAGGAAATACTCTTTGAGCCTGACGTAGAACTGGACACATCAAGGGTGCCGCCCTGTGCCCCTCATATCAGCCTTTCCGATTAGCAATTGCTCCTAATTTGATAAATGAGGAAAGTGAGGTTCACAGAGGTGGAGTGACTTGCCCAAGGTCACACGGCTCAGTGGTGGCAGCTCCTGTCTGATTCCAAAGTTTAACCTCTGTCTAGAGCATCGCACGGCAGGCGCCAGGAAGCAAAGGGCAGTGGCTGTGTACTCACGCCGGGGTCAGGCCACCTGTCTTTCCAGGGACAGCTAAGCACATGTTGAACCTTAGATTTCGTTGCGTCAGCCTCTAACTCATTGCGGAAGCCAGACTAAGGAAGCAGAAACCCCAACGTAGACTGTCGTGAAGGGAATAATTTATTTTCGCACTCGTGAGACCTAAAATCAACATCTTTCCTTCAGTCTTTTGCTCAGTGAATATTGCTGCAGCACTGATTGTCTGCCAGACCCTGTTCTAGTACCTGGGTCACGGCAGCGAGCGAGACTGGACCTGATCTTCTAGAGGCGGGGCCTGTACATGCAGAGAAAGAGTGGCCCAGGGTGCAAATTTTGACTCTGGAATCTGAGCTAACGATTTCTCTGGCTGTTAGTTTTCTCATCTGTAAATGGGATAAGGATAGTGTGTGCGCGCGTGTGTGTGTGTATGTGTGTGTGTATGAGAGAGAGAGAGAGAGAGAGAGAGAGAGAGAGAGAGAGTTAATTGACAATAATTCTTACTCCTATCTGGTACATCAAGTTCCACTCTTTTCCTGGTACTGACGCATTCTTGTCTTGTAAATTTGGATGCGCCCTTTGCTGACGTAAGGATGTCCAAACCTGTAGAGAATTTTTTAAAAAATTTGAGTCAAATAGAGGAGACGCCTGAAAGCGAGTTCTCAGCGGACAGAGAAATCGGAGAAAGCAAAGCGGGTCTTGCATTGCAGGGTCGTGAACAAGATCACGTGCCCTCTCCGGGGGTGGTGGTCGGCCGTAGAAGGAGGGGTCTGAAAAGAGGCGTTTCTAAGTTGTATTAACCTAGATGCACAGAAACAATGAGCAGGGCTTGCTTAAGGCGAAGATAAACCTTTTGCTAAAGAAGTCACAGGTCCGGGGTGTAACTACCCCCATGACCTGCCCAGTTAGGAATTTATGCTCAGATCACCCTGTGAGGTTACTTTCCACAGAACCCCTTTTTTGTTTACACCTTGAACCTCATTGAGCCCAACAGCAGAACTGGGATTAGGCCCCCAGGCCAGCGGGGTCCAGCCTTGTGCTTAGACCTGGTCTGCCTCTCTGCGCTCTGCCCAGTTCAGGGCTCCCAGCCCAAATTTGTTGCTCCATGATGCATATTCCACCCAAGGCCCAAGTGCCTGGAGACACTTTCAGAAAAGTCTGCTAGAGGAAGCCTGAATGTCAAGGGCATCTCGTTCACATCTCAGTGTGACACTGAGGGCTACATCGCTCCCTGTGGTCCTAACCCTAATGGCTTGAGAAACAGCCAGATGTCACCCACACATCCAGCTGCCCCAGAATCATCCAAGGAAGCTTCGAGCTCCACAGTTAAAGAGGAAATGTGCAATTGCATTCCCGGCCCAAGGAGGGGTCCGGTCCCACCCATGTCACCCTCGCCCCTGGGATGCATTGCCCTTGAAGGCCGACACATGACATCTCAGCAGGTTCCATCACAGAACCTTTCAACTTTAAAGCCGGAAGCCTCCTCAGAAATCACGGCATCCAGGACCCCAAACTGGAGGCCCTGGGCAGGATCCAGGCCGCAGGTGGGCCTTGTCCGGCTGCAGAGAGCTGAATCTCTCCAGTTCCATGTGTCCCCTGTTCAACCACGATGTCCCCAAGAAGCGGCCTAACCAGCTTCATGAGGCACAGGACTTTGCTGTCCCTGGTCTGGTCCAGCTCTTCGTTTTGCAGGGAGGAAAGGTGACATTGGGACAAAGGGAGATAAAAACCCGGAGTGGGGGTTGGATCCACTGAGGAGTTTCCCTGAGCTTCAAGGAGAAGCAAGTACCGGGCAGAGCCCAATGCAGAACAGAAACAGGAAGAGGTGAACCCCCTTGGGGTCTCCCGGGAGGGAAGAGGGGGCTTCCTTGGAAAAAGGGGAGCCAGCCCCCAGTGAGGGTTCTCTCTGTGTTGAGGCTCCATGCTTAACCCACTTACTGGTCTGTTCATTAATAATTACCTATCTGGGGAGGCGGTAGGTGCTGCTGAGAGCGCTCTTCAATCTTCCTGGGCTTGATAAACCCAAGCCACATTCCTGGGCCACCTCTAGAGCTCAGACGACCGCACGGGGCCACTCCAGCATCGACTGGGCCGTGAGTACCGAGGGACACTCTGAAGGGAGGACTCGGGGTTCTGGGACACAAGATTGTCGGTGCTTTGTCAACGTAAGAACATCCAAACCTGTAGGAGAATGTGTAAGAGTTGGTTAGAGTTTATTTGAACCAAACAGACAAGTAGAGCCAAACTCAAAGTCTTGGGGAAACTGAGACAATTGGTCACTCTACCTAGAGGTGAGAAATCCTCAGGCTGAAAAGACCACTCACTACACATGATCGCACCAACATCCTCACTGCCCCGGGGTGAGGCGGGGGACCAGTGCTCACACCCAGACATGGCCTCTCCCCAGGCTGGACACAGCCTGGGCCGGCTCTGCTGCCTCCCAGCAGAATCCTGGGTGAGCTCGCGGTGAAGCCACGGGGAAGTCTGTGAGAGCTGGGGCCAGGGGAGAAGTGACCGTGGTTGCTAAGAAGCCATGGTGGGTGGAGGGGTGTCAAGTAGGTGGACGAAGTGGTTCCGTGTGTGTTTTTAGATGACCCTCGAACAGCTGTACGACATGCAGAGAGTAGAAAGACCCGTTAGGAAGCTTCTGCCGCGGTCCCGGTCAGGGTTCTGCAAGCTACAGCCCGCGGGTCAAACCGGGCCCACTCTCTCTTTTCGTGTTGCCCACGAGCTAAGAATGAACAGATACGACGTAGACACAAAGGTTTTAAGTGGTTGAAAAAAACCAAGCATTTTGTGACATATCAAAAGTAGATGAAATTCAAACTTCAGTGGCCAGAAATAAAATTTTACGGGAACACGGCCACGACCATCCGTGCCTGTCTTGTCTGTGGCCACTTTCCAGGTGGCGTGGCAGAGCTGAGTGGATGCAGCAGTGACTGTACGGCCCACAAAGCCCGAGATATTTACTATCTGGCCTTTGACAGGAAAAGCTTTCTGACCCTGTTCTGGGTGAAAGATGCTGGAGACTTGAGTGAGGCTCATGGCAGAGGAGGGGCTGAGAGGTTGAAGGGAGAAGCTGGAGGGGGT